GGTAGGACCAAAGCGAAGAGTAGATAAAGGTTTCTTGTAAATCTTGGCTTTGCTCCATATCGTATAGCGCGTTTGAACTGCAGAAGGCTTGCTTTTTTATGTAGAAAATAGCAAAAGTGAACAGTGCGAAATAGCACACAACCACTCGTAATGACGCCATCACTTCATCTCTTTTCATATGCCTATCTAAACTGATGTAATAACTTTTGGTAGGTGCAAAAATATATATAAGCTTCCCAAAGTATTTATTCAGAGTATCATGGTTTGCTTTTGATAAACTGCCTGATAAGGTGAATGGAACAAGACTCATGATACAAGTGAATAATATGATTAGAAACATCATATATTTGAACTGGAGAGAAAGATATGAAGACATGATTGATCATCGCAGTTGTACACACAACTTAAGCAGTTGTGAAATTAAAGCATGAAAAAATTCAGGTTTAAATGTGATTCAAACCCATGCCCTCTGTGATACTGGTGAAGTGCTCTACCAACTGAGCCAACTAGCCAACTGGGAGCTGGTCACGTTGTGAGTTCATAATACACCTGTAGATGATGATGAATGCAAGTGAATATATGCTATGTCATATGTTTGAACTGTGAAGAGAGATATGAAGACATGATTGATCATTGTAGTTATGCATACAACTTAAGCAGTTGTGAAATTAAAGCCCGAAAAGAATTCAGGCTAGAACAGGATTCGAACCCATGACCTCTGCAATACCAGTGTGATACCGATATGTGATAAATATAAAAGAATCAACCAAAAAATATTTTTTGGTAATGCCCAGTTTTATTGGGAAAACAAAGTTTGGACAGAATGTGTTACTAACCAACAGTGCATTATAATTGTGTTCTTTTTCATGATTAACAGATGGGCGCATATCATACAATAGACCTGGAATTGAATAGGAAATTTACTTTGATCAAAGAATATTGGGATATTATAGCTCTTGAAAGAGTGGGTAAGTTTAATTGAAAATCTAATTGATTTATTATAATAGTTACATGTACTTCGCTTATAGATAAAGCATTTACCCACCATCTCAAATGATAATTTAAATACAACTATATATGAAAATTGAGGTCACTGCTAAACTTTAACAGTCAGTCAGCAGTAAAAAGAGCAAATAAAACAAATTAAACAAAATGTTGTTTCTGAGATTCTGTCTTGTTAATAAATCTTGAAGCCACACACGCACAAACACTCGTCACACATATAATATTATGTATAGACACTTTCAAAAATTCAGACTGTGTGCCAAAACTGCTTTAATTTACATCTTATGGAAATGATTTTGAAATGGTCTTGGTCAAGGCAGTTTTGCTTTAAAATTTAGAAATGTTGCAAAGAAATGTTTTTTTAAAAATTAAAGTACTTAATGACTCCTTTGTGTGTTACTGCTACTCTTAGCAAATCAAATGTGAAAGATAATAGGAGTTTGTGGTAAATATTGTAGAAAATAATGTTTTGTGTGCCCTAGACATGGCTTGTGATCCAGCACAGCATGCAGATCTTGGAGCCATCTTACTTCATGAAGGTAGGTGTTACTATTTGAATTATGTTTAAAGTTACTCACACTCAATGATAGAAAGTTTTTTTTACAGTGCAACCCCACTTACTGAAGCCACCCAACAAGGTTTTCTAAAATTCACAATTACCCAATTGCAGTGCTAGATTTTGATTGATGGTCACCTTATTGTCAAAGATAAGTTTTGAGCATTTGTGATTTCTTTCCCAGAAATCTCTCAACAAGAAGTCGTTAAATTAAAAATGACTAATGTTGCATTCTATCAGAACTAAATGCCAAAGCCTCCATTGTTTACTCTCACAGTGTTGAGGTGAGCTTACCAAAATAATCTGGAAAAATAGCCACTGAATGATGTTCAAACCAAACAATGGTTGAAATATTAAATGTCACACTTAAATACAGGTTTCTTTGACATTTCATTTCAACATCTTTTATATAGGACCATAGAAGTTTTAGAGTCAGAAACTCAATACAAGAAACCTGTGGTTTTTGAGAATTAAAAAAAATAAAATATAAAAATAAAAACCCCCTTACATTACAATTGTTACACATTTTTTCTTCAGGCCTATGTCACATCTTTTTAGTCACTTCAAGTATGACAATTGTTAGAGCTAAAATTGATATGAATATTCCAAGGAAAAGAAAAGGATTCTGTAGTCAACATGATAAGGTCAGTTTCAGTTTCAGTTTATGATAAGATGTTTTCTTGTCTTAAGATGATGATTATAATGTAATTATGAATAATTTAAGTGTCACTGGTATAATAGCCAGCACTCATTATTGCCATATTTTTGTAGAAAATCAATTTTTATCTATATCAAAAAGGTTTCTAAATTATCACAAGGATAAAAGTAATGTTGATTATCCTATGATGTCTGTGATCCATTGAAGTTTTCTTAATTAATTTCTAGCTTGAAGATTATGATTGTCACTGGTATTAATAACATGCAAGATATTTTGTTGTTGAACAGGGGTTGCTTAGGTTTTATGATGCCATAATCCAGGGCATTCTCCGGCATTTTAATTTTGAGGGTAGGTATGCATGCTTGTATATAATATACATGTACAATAATATTGTGTAATATTGACTAGTGTAGCCTAAGGATGTAAAATTGCTGAGGTTATTGTGGTCTATTTTGCATGTCTGTTAACTTTGTATTGCAATACACTTTTTCCTGTCACCTCCCAGTAAGTAAAACATTTGCATATCTCCCACCTGTTTTGCATGCACACCACGCCATCTGCAGGTACATGTACACAATTGGATTTCAGTATAGTTTTTGACAAATAACACCTAGTTTTTCAGCTTCAAGATGTTAACAGTTACAGTAGTTAGCAATATGCTGCTATTCTGGTGTTCCTGTTTTAAGTACAGGTTTATTAAACTTGATTTGGTCACAACAGGAAAATTTTGTTTTCGTTTTAGTTGTGTACTTGGTAGCGTAGTTGATTGCATCAACGTCAACCCCAACGCACGTGTGGTAGTTAAACCGTGCCTTGCATGATGCGCAGAACGTGTGCGCACTAACAAAGCAAGGCACTGTCCTTAAACTGTTGCAGTTCTTTTGCATCACAATCGGGAAATCTATCCACCATTGTTTTAAAATTAGAAACAATAATATTTCAGTTACCATGGAAACTGGCCGTAATTTTTTAGGTATTTGAAATTGGGCTTAAATACTACTGGTCTTAGCCAATCACATTTTAGAAATTTCTTTGCCTGTGGTATAATAGTTTGAATACTTGAAAGCCTGTATGATTTAAATTCTCAAAATACTAAGTCTTCCAGAATTTAAGCCTGTCAGAGCCGCCACCGCCATGTGCTTTTTTCTGAATAACTTTTCTCACCTCAGCTGCTACACACTTGAATGGAGTAAAGTTTCAGTCCACATTATAGTGCAAGATCTAAAATATTTATGAATCAAGTTCTCAAAATGCATGTAGAATTTAAGTGCAAATGTGTGAAAGCCAGATGGATATGATTTAAGTTTTCAAAATGCTTGTAGAATTTCGGTGCAAATATGTGAAAACTTGTCAAAGCCACAGGGCTGCCAAAGTTAGAATATTATGCAGCCCACTGCTGGTGAAGAATACAAGTGAACATATGAAAGATCATATATTTGAACTGTGGAGAAAGATATGAAGACATGATTGATCATCGCAGTTATGCACACAACT